GAAAGAATGGCAGGTGGTTCACGACATGGCTAAAGAAGTACTGAAAGAGCGTCTGAAACTAGTGGAGGTTTATTCACATGTAAGTTGCCGCTATTAGATACTTCGATGTGTATTTGTAAGGACTATGTTTGTCGGAAGTACAGGATTGTTCACTTATGTAGTATCATTTTAGTGTTTCTTCTGAGATTGATTGTACCAGGTACAAGTTCAACACAATATATGCCACCACCGCTCTGATACCTATCGGTAGTGATCACAAGCAAATACAAGATCACGCACGTATATGGCGCCAGCACTCCAATGTGTTTTTGCCACAAGCATTCAACTGGAAGGGCGTCGTTCACAAAAACGTTTGTACTATTTTGATGCCCGTATGAAGCCATGTTTATTTGGAGTGAGTACAGGGTTTTTCGTATTTGTGTCACCACCAGTTGGATGCGTTCGTGCAGCTATCATGTAAATTTGGTTTCCTGTTAGGTTAACTTCCAAGGCGTTGAACCTTTCTCTTCTTTTTCCAATTCAAATCGAGCACTTTGGCTGTACTCCTTTCGTATGAGTTAGTCATGAACGTTATTGGCGTCTACATATATATATATATATATATATATATACGAACACTCATCTTTTCAGTTGGTTAATCTTACCCCTGACAGAAACTAGAACCATCATGTAGACGGACGCCTTGCATACATATGTATATATATGTATATATATATATCAAGTACATGTCATACATATGCAGACATTTGTCCTAGTTTATGAAGTTATACTCTTACATATAAACTGTCGTATAATTAACCATTATACCTATCTCTACAGATGGAGAATCGAACCCCCGACCAGGAGCTAGAGCTCACTTACAGGCGGGCTTCAATGACTACCATGGTTATGGCTATGGTTCGATTGGTAAGTGGCCGCATCCGTTCGACAAGACTTATTTCTGGACACGTATCTGTGCTGTAGCGATGGCATATTCGTATTCTTTGTTGGTATTATTTTTTGGGCAGGACTTGTACGTACGGTTCTCGACTCTCAACGGTCTGTGTTGTGTTGCGGTGGTCCTGCATTGATGTACATGCACGGGCATATCTCGTTGGGTCTGTCATACCTACCACTGCGGGTTCCTTTGGAGGTAGCATCTCCTATTGGAGGACTAAACACTAAGATGCATAGACAACTTTGTATTCTAACATTCACTTCACATATACATACGTTTGAATATCACACCTGTAGATACAACAGAATCATTGTCCCAAGTTAAGTTTTCATATACTGCATACACACACTACTGAGCTAAGTTCTCTGGTCTGTACCGGTCCCCATACCCAATACTTATATGTACAGCGTGATATGGAAGCCCGATCTCAGCCACTGGACACCAAGCGCAAACTGACAGACTCACTGCTCGCTCCTCTGTCACCGAGGAGTGAATCGACACTGCGGCTGGCCAGGAAGAGTGTGGGCAGGATACAGACGTTGTTCCGAAAAGACTCCAGGAAGGGCTCGGTCCCCGATGCCAAGCATGAATAGCTGTAGTTGGATATAGAAGCGTGTGTATGGGAGGGGGGGTCAGCAGTTGGGGCGTGTGTATACTTGATTGGTGAGAAAGTTGTGTTGGAATCCATGGTTAACACGCATAGAAAGGAAGGGTATAGGTTGGGCTGGGCTACAGACACTGTATAGTAACAACCCCACGAAGATATGTTGCCGGATGCGAAGCCAGTATAATCATAAACAAAGGTAGAATATAAACGAGAACTTAGGAGATGTATGGATGTGTGTGCTGGAGATGCATGGGTGTGTGTGCTGCGGGTGTATACCTTTGTTGAAGTTCAGGTTTCCTGAGCACACTCGGTAGCATTCGTTGGAACGATGGTAGAGCAACGACTCTTGAGGATGTTCTGTATTGGAAACGAAGTGAGAATATTTGTGATGTTTCAAATGGTTCAATCGGTAAGTATAGGTATGTGTGGGTACTCTTTACCGATAGTGTGGGTAGGACGGGCATCGTGCTTGACCAGGGAGAGTATGGTCAAGGTGCGATATAGCTTAGTGCAACCTATATCCGTTGTTGAATAAGGCTAGAAATGGAATAAACACTCCTTGAAATATGATTCTGTGAGGTTGGAGTGTACGTGGTGAGAATGCATATAACCTATAAGCAGGTAGCCAAGGTTCCTAATGACGAGGTCTGAGTTAACAGAGTGGGGTGGATATGAGCAATTGCCGGGTGGCCACAGGCACGTAGTTGCGAGGTCAGGATATCTGAGGGTGATTGACTACAAGTAGGTTGCTAACACCTACAAACGCGAGCCGCGTATTGTTGTACTTGGGTAGGTATGAGTCAATGAGGAGCAAATTTAAAATCAAAACTGTCTTAGACTTGTGGCTATATCTCCGAGGGGGGGGGGGAGAGAGAGTAGGATACGAAGTGGAAGGATGTCGTAGGTAGATATAAGATTTTTCCAGCAAGGAAGTGTCCGTACTTAATGCGAAGCTAGGAACCTCTTGATCGGAAAGCAGAGATATTCGAATGTGAGATAGTAGCAGCGACTGCACCCCTCTGGAATGAGGGGGAGATTGACAGTGCTGTCATCAGCAAAAGTAGTTGCATAGGGAGGACAAAAGTAGTGTACATCAAAATAGGAACAAAAAATATGCAATAGTAAATGGAGTTTTATCTATCATCTCTTTTAATATATTGTATTGGACCAGTAAGTTATACATGTAGCCTTAGAGGAAGAGGGTTCTCATGCATGCCATGCTACCTGCTGTTCGTACGTGCTGCAATGGATCTACACAGTCAGCTGAGCCGAATGAGGGCTAGAAAGTCAAATATGCAGACGGTTGTGAAAGGTTGTGGCCGATTTGTTCTACAATGCGCTACACTGAAGCAGCGCTGGTGGTTAGGCCTTAACCGCTAAACACCTAAACTCTAAACCCTAAACCTTCTATCCTAGACCCCATGGGAAGAGTGGGTATCTGTTCAATCAAAAACTGTAAGGGGAGTCTGGAGCAACAGTTTTGGATTAGTACGAATGGTCGTCTATGATAACGCACGCAGGCTATCCCGTACTATTTACATCACATCACGTCTCCACGGATAGCTTGGTAAGACTAGAATACACAACATTGTTTATATACTGCACCAGATTCGCGGAACTTAAAATCGGGTGTGGCTGGGTGCAGAAATCAGTTTTGAGGCTGCTGAACTGCAATGCGAGGGTATTGGATTTGGACTCGTTCTACCCAAAACTGGGTTCCGGAATGGTAATCAGGCGTCCTAAGTGTGAAGAAGCGAAACGTTAAGCATATGGATCTATGTGAATCTCTCTTTTATCCGCAATAGCCGATGCGTGTTTTTCAACCATCACAGTACATATTATGAACATGGAACGCGAACAAAAAAATGATCGACTCGAAAGGTAGTTAAACAGATGGTGGTGCTGCTAAGGCGACAATGCGTATAACGCGTCGAGACAGTGAATTGGCAAGCGGGGAAGTTAAGCTATGCCAATGCAAAGGAATAAAATGAGTCGTTTAGTGGAAGCGTGCTCACAAATGCTCCCAGGTGTTTTGGCATTATATACTGTAGCTTCGTTAGACTGTATGGCTTTGCCTAGTGTGGACTACACAATTTGGCTGCCGATGCACGGAGTGAAAGGTGTACCAGATTGCATGTAGACTGAATGATGGATCTGTACGTTGTAACATCAAGCACGGCACGGCATCCCGAGGTAACTAGTACATGAATATATACTACAATCATCACTTTTAACATATATATACTACACTCATCTCTTTTAACATATATATACTACAATCACCTCTTCTAACTTATATATACTACAATCACCTCTTTTAAGATATATATTCTACAATCATCTCTTCTAAGATATATATACTACAATAACCTCTTTATAAGATACATGTATTAAAATCATCTCTTTTAAGATCTATATACTTCAATCATCTCTTTCAAGATATATATACAACAATCGTCTCTTTTAACATATATATATACTACAATCACCTCTTATAAGATATATATACTACAATCATCTCTTTTAAGATCTATATTCTACAATGACCTCTTCTTATAAGATATATATACTACAATCATCTCTTTTAAGACCTATATACTACAATGACCTCTTATAAGATATATATACTACAATCATCTCTTTTGACATATATACACCACAATCACCTTATAAGATGTATATACCACTATCATCTCTTTTAACATATATATACTACAATCATCTCTTTTAACATATATATACTACAATGACCTCTTTTAAGATGTATATACTACAATCATCTCTTTTAAGATATAAATACTACAATCATCTCTTTTAAGATATAAATACTACAATCATGATTTGGACTGTGCATGTCGATGCAAGTGCTGCCCTTCTGAACTGTACCTCGATTAATACTATTTATGAGCATACAGGACTATACAGCCTATCGTCTCCCAATGACTCGATTATTATTATTTATGAGCGTACAGCACTATATAGCCTATCGTCTCCCAATGATTCGATTATTATTATTTATGAGCATACAGAACTACACAGCCTATCGTCTCCCAATGATTCGATGATTGTTATTTATGAGCATACAGAACTACACAGCCTATCGTCTCCCAATGATTCGATTTTTTTTATGAGCATACAGCTCTATACAGCCTATCGTCTCCCAATGATTTGATTCTTATTATTTATGAGCATACAGCACTATACAGCCTATCGTCTCCCAATGATTCGATTATTTTTATTTATGAGCATACAGCACTATACAGCCTATCGTCTCCTACATCATTGGACTGTGCTGTGCTATCTCCAAGATTCTCCGTCGTATTACTGGTGCACTGATGTCTGCCCGTTATGTATCGGGAGGCGAGTTCTAATACCCATACAATGAGCTCAGTAACCCACATATACACAACCGTCAGTGAGCCATTATGTCTGTACCTGACACTCGTTCATAGTTGTTGCCTGCTTTGTGTGTGGTCCACATGCTATCCTGTGGCACCTACGCACCGTATCCTCGACGAGAAAGGCTGTCAGCCATATTGCAGCCACATCATACCACCTTTACCCGTGCAAATAAGCCCACCATACTGGTACAGCGTGCCCGAATGTATGTATATAATCGCCACCATGCAGATGAATCAGACCCATTCGTAAATACAGAAACGGCCTTTGAAGGGCCGAAAAAGATGTCACTTACATAGTCTTAAGAGAGCACTATTTGTGATTAAATTGTACTCTTGTGAACTTTCTCCGCTTTTGTAGTAGCCTATCAATATATACGCCACCATAGCAATGTATCTGTGCTGAAGACTCCATAGCGATACATCAGTGTCTCAGGTCAACAAAGTATTTGTTCTGTAGTCCAACACGCGTTGCTAGGTATATCTTTCCACTGGACTCTTTTGTACCTACAATGTGGTGTAAATATTCACCAATCACTCTCAGATAACGCCCTTATGGGAATTATTAGCCAATTTGATATCTCAGCTGCAAACCACAATGCGTTCCGCTATCCCTCTGATGCGACTGTTCAGTGTCTGTAGTATCGCACCTGTGACGTAGACTACTATACGCATTCACAAGGCTCTCCAGTTAGTCTGATCAACCTCTGCACTATCGTATAGTCGCTAAACTATACCGTCTGCACGGGAAGTTCGTTCGGAGAACCTATCCAGTTTATATGTCATCGCTATCGCGTCACATACACTCCATAGACATGTATAAAGAGCAATCGCGCTCCCTACACTTTCATATACATGTGTATAAAGTGAAATCGCGCCGGTGTATACATATGTATAAAGTACCATAGCTAAGCGACTCCCACAGTGGCATCAACTCTTCAGTACTATACTGGCTTCAGAACTGACTTTGCATGTCCTCGATGTGAGTGGCTTGAGATTTCAAGCGTTCAACCCAGGACCCAAACCCAGCATGCAACCTAACTTTCAGAATATTCGTTCACAAACCTCGCCCACACTAGTCAGATGTTACACTGACGATGTGCCTGGTCCTTCCTTCCACTCACGCACCTAGTAGTGTTATTAGTTGTTCGCTATGTACCTTGTTCTCTTCCCTCCTACGAGCCCAGTAGTACTATCCCTTGTTCAGTGTATACCTCGGCTTCATCCCTGATACCTACAGTTGCTCGCTGTATTCGCCAATACTCAGTCTTACCAATCTCACATACAGTGATTCACATGGATGTTCGATATATTTGTCTATCGGGCCATTTCTTACCTGTGACCCGCAAGGGTGTAATATCCCTAGACGCTTATATGATACGTTTTGCAACATCCAAGTATATTCGGACTCAGCAAACAATACGGAAACGAACTCAGCGGCTACGTTCTTGTCTCTCACCCGTGCACACTAGCTCAGCAAGCAATACGTCAACTATAATGCCGAGGTACATACTCGAAACTTGCCTCTGGGGTGCAACTGGACAGATCACCGGATATCTGTCCAGCCCATTTGTCGACGGGTCTTTTGACAATCTGACCGAGCAACTCGAATCCTCGACGGCACTTTTGACCCAAATCTTATCCGCATATGCCAAATGCTCTCCATTGGAGGCAAGCAGCATTTTGACAGCACTTCCGACCCGAAAGTAATTCTGAAATATCAGAATAATGTTATCCAGTAGTCAGAAATCAGACCATCAACGTGCTACAGCACTTTCACCGGGGGCATTCGACTCGAAATCTGACTCTGGATTACAAACAATACAAAAACTATCCCCACTGTGGCCAGCAGCACTTCTACGGCACTTTCGGCCTGAAGGTAGCCCTGAGATAGTAGAACCGCGCCACTCGGCTATATGAAAGTATCTTATTAACGTACTACGGCACTTTGAACAGCATTTTCGTCCCAAAATTTGATTCGGAGATTTCTGAATCGTGTCACGCATGATCTTACTATAGGCTAAGGAACTCACGCACTTCTAACAGTACTATAGACTCCACTGCCATTCTGAGATATTAAATCAACTGGGTACTAAGAATACCCTATAACCGTGCTACAGTATCTTCGACCTCGAGAACGCGGACAGGGCTTGCGTTGGTAACTGTGTCGGACAACTGTCTAAATCGTAGTATTTGTGGCTCACCACTCCCTTCTTGACCAATACCAGACGCAAACCGGGTTGATCTTTTCCTGTTTGTGCGGAATATTTAGTGAAAGGATAGACTGGGTCAGTGTCCTCGTGGCTATTCCAATCGATTGATCTGGATAGGCAGCAACACTAAATCTACACACTGTGAACGATAGTTTGAATACAACTAATGAATGGGTATATATGTGATATATAGGATTAAAATAGAAAGGACAATATAATCAATTGCATAAACGCGGTCCCATCACACACACACACATACACACACACACACACACACACACATGCACATGCACATGCACACACACACACCCATGCACACAAACACACACACAAAAAAACATATAC